ACACAGCAGAGTCAGTCACTGCAGCAGAGGAGATGTTCATGCTGATTTGTTTTTGGTCCACTTTAGTCGTCAGTCCAGGCATTGGATTTTTCACTACTGTTCCTGAAGCAGAGTCAGAGATGAGGAACTCTGGTGGTTTTCCTGGATATTGTCGATACCAGAAGAAATAATCATTACTAGCTGCCTTTGTGGAGTAGTTGTAGGACAGAGTAACAGTGCTGCCTTCTGAACTGAACTCTTCAGTCTTGACTGGAGTCAGTTTTTCACAGCTGACTCCTAAAGAAACAGAGAACTCTGTTATAATATGATGTAAATGTTTCAATACATAATTTACATTCATTTTGCTGCATGATCTCACATACCTGTTAGAGTAGAGACAAACAGTAGAGACAGCACATAATAGTCCAATGACAACATGTTGAATAAAGGTAATGTTGATGGTTTGTGTATTGAACTGTGCTGAATATGGAAGTTCCTCTCTCTTCTATAGTTCAGTAACAGCTCAGCTCCTCCCTGAATCTCTCCGTCTCCTCTTAGATCTGTATTTTCTCTTCTCTCTGTGACACTTCCTCCTGGTGAACAGACTGGAGCAGATATTTGTACCAGATTTAGAAAAAGGTTCTCTCTGATGATTTAAAGGATAGATCACTTTTTCAGGATCATCAAACAAAAGAATGAGCAAATGCTATCTTTTGAGACAACATTATTTCATCAATGTACAATATACATCAATTGATGATGAGAGGAAAAGTCATCACACAATATTACACTCAGAGTATGAGCAGTTTGATCAAGAGACAGTTCAGAAAGATTAGATTTTACCTGGTTTACTGAATTGTAGGGGCGAGTACAAGGATCTTAGTTCTAGACTCATTCCGACATTATATTTAGAGAAACAAAGAACGAGTATTTCAAGAACCAATATTAGCCTCTCTTTATTTTTGCCACATTAAGGCTATAATCAGTAAATTGTCACAAAAATCAAGTGTAATATAAAATAAAACATTCCTCTTTATTATAAGGGTTGATCACCATGAACAATTACAAACCAAAACGAATTAAATCAATAACGGAAAAAAATACAAAAGAAATTTTGAACATAACTAAATATTTAACAGATAGTTGTTATGGAAGCAGCAACAATATTAAAAGATGGTATGTCTGGAATGCAAACATTAACAATTCTTCTGAAGGAAAATCAGCATGTGGTGTTCTCTGGAAGGACGCATGATCTGTCTGGGCTGATTGTATCTCCAGCGGTGGAGAAAACCCTCTCACTGGGGGTAGAGGAGGCCTGTACACACAGGTATGAGAGGGCCGGGTCTGACAGCAAAGGATACATGTCTCTCCTATTCCACCAGCAGAGAGCAGGTTCTGTAATCCCTTCAGATTGTAATGCTTCATCATATTGGTGGTGCTTCCTCTCTTGCATGAAATATTTTTCCTGCAGAAGTTGCATTTTGCTGTGTTCTTGTCTTTCTTGTTGAAGCTAAGTCAAACTTTTCAGCGGTTGCTGTACTCAGCCATAGTCCAAGATGCAAACAACAGATGAACTCCACATGCTTTGTTGATATAGCGTACTGTGAACCAAATGACAATAAGTCTGCCTAACAGGTCCTGGCAGATAAGGAAAACTTTTACAGACTATAAAATGCTCACTCCAGTCCATCGCAGGGCAAACACACAGAGACAACCATTCACACCTATGGTCAATTTGGAGTCAATCAGCCTATTCCCCATTTGCATGTCTTTGGAGTGTGGGAGGAAGCCGGAGTACCCGTAGAGAACCCACACAAGCACGGGGAGAACATGCAAACTCCACACAGAAAGACCCCGCGTCCGAGCCGGGACTCGAACCCGAAACCTTCTTGCTGTGAGGCGACAGCGCTAACCTCTGCACCACCGTGCTGCCTCCAGGCAATTAATTGAAAACAACAATTTAACTGAAATAGGCTGTTCATCAGCTGATCAAAAGTTTAAGACCATAGCTCAAAAAAACCCGAAAACCCCCTAAAACAGAAATTAAAGTGTCAAAAACGGACTCAGGGACTTCCGGTAATGGCGGCAGAGTGATCACACGCCTGGCGTTTGCTCCCTGACCATTTATAACTTTAACATATCTACACTCAGACTTTTTGACTTATTTTCATGTCAGCGTAATACTTCCAAAACTGAAATGAGTAAATCCCACGGGACCCGCCAGGGAAAAGGTCAGCCTCAGTTGACTCAACACTTCAGCCCGCACGATAAAGACGCTAGCAAGGCAGACGCTAGCAAGGCGGGCGCTAGCAAGGCGGGCGCTAGCAATGTAGCAACAGGTGGAGCTCAACCGCTAACTCTGGACATGCTCATCGGTGAACTCGAGAAACTGCGCAAAGATGTAACAGGTGAACTCACCACCTCCCTGAATACTGCCATGGCTCCTATCCAAGCTTCTCTGCAAAAGATCGCTGATACTGTAGCCTCGCACACAGCTACCATCTCCGCAATGGAAACAGCCCTCTCTTCCCACTCAGATGACCTGTCGACTCTGCAGCACGAAGTGGCCACATTGAAGTCCAAGGTGGAGACCACCACCCAGATGAATGAAAAGCTGCAGCTGGCTGTTGAGGACCTGGTTTCACGATCCAAACGGCAGAATCTCCGTGTGATTGGTATCCCCGAGGGAGCGGAGGGGACTGATACCCGTCTCTTTATGACTACGCTGTTTAAGGACGTGATCGGAGACACTCCACCAGATACGAGCTTTGAACTGGACCGAGCTCACCGCAGCCTGGGGCCGAAACCGGCGCAGGGCTCCCGGCCCATTCTTGTGCGCTTTCACAGATACATCCAGAAAGAGCGAGTGCTGCTATGGGCGAAGAAAACACGGGGCATCTCATACCAGGGTTATCCCATAAGGTTCTTTGAGGACTTCAGCGCTTCCCTCGCCAAGAAACGGGCATCATTCAACAAAGTGAAGTCTCTCCTCTACAAGGATGGGATACGCTTCGGGCTGATCTACCCGGCGCGCTTGCGGGTCACTATTGACGGACAGTCTCGCATGTTTGACTCCGCGGATGAAGCGGAGCGGTTCTACCGTGATCTCAGCAGTAAGTGAAGACATGACGTCCCTTTACACATCTCCTTTAACTTTTCTCTATGAAAACTGGACTGTAGATATTAAAGGCGTACGGGAGGAGCTGGAAGACTTTGCCCCGAGCTGAGATTATTTACAAATTCACAACTAAGCTCCTAATATGTAAGATCCAGTTATGTTCATTACAGACTCGTTTGTGCTGTTGTTAAACATTTGTTAAAATATTTCTTATATAGAGCACAGTTGTGTTTTGTTAAGTATTGAAAAACTGGAACACTGAGGTTGTTACGCTGTCAAATGGTAAATGTCAGAGGTGTACACATTTCCACAATTGAAAAGGAAGCAAACTCCTATCAATCAGTCGGTTGTGTAAAGTAGTAGTTCCTGCATGCTCATCTGTGTTAAAGATGAGGTTAGGACAAGTATGTAAGTATGTTTTAAACCTGAGGGTGTCACTGAGGACATCTTCTGTTGTTGTGTTTGGGATTTTCTCTTTTTTTCTTTTTATCTTTGATAGAGGAGCGTTCTTTTTTTTCACAGACTTGTACGGTGGCATTGTATATGTTGTTGCTACTTTGCTTTACATTACTAAGCTGACCCGGCTGGGGCACCATCTCATCAGAGCACTTACAGGATTGATAGTTTATCACTGATTTCATGATTGACATGACCCAGAGAGACATGCTACGAACCATCAGGCTCACAAGCTGGAACGTTAGGGGACTTGGTGGACCTGTTAAAAGGACAAAAGTACTTTCACACCTTAAGGGTATGAAAACAGACATTGCGTTCCTACAAGAAACCCATCTTCGTCTTTGCGACCACACCAGACTACGAAAACCCTGGGTTGGACAGGTTTTCCACTCCAACTTCAATAGTCGCTCGAGAGGCACAGCTATTTTACTGCACAAGCGAGTACAGTTCTCATCAGAACAGGTCATATCTGATCCCAATGGCCGGTATATTATTGTTGTTGGTATGCTGTTTCAAACTCCTGTCATTATGGTTTGTGTTTATGCCCCCAACTGGGACTGCCCTAATTTTATGTCTTCCCTATTCTCATCCATTCCGTGCCTAGATACACATCATCTCATTTTTGGAGGGGATCTTAACTTATCTATCAATCCCACGCTTGACAGATCCTGTTCAAGAAAATTAATTCAATCCAAAGCAGCTAAGTGTTTGTCTGTATTCACAGATCAAATTGGCAGTGTGGACGTGTGGCGTTTTTACCACCCAACAACAAAGGAGTTTTCATTTTATTCCCAAGTTCATCAAACATACTCTCGAATAGATTACTTTTTTCTTGATAAGATTTTACTACCCTCAGTGAAACAATGTGAATACTCATCGATAGTTATTTCAGACCATGCCCCCCTTCTATTAGACTTGGAACTAGCCCCTAAAACCAAATGCCATTCAACCTGGAGATTAAACACTGGGCTTTTATCGTCCAACAAATTCTGTGAATTTATATCTGACAAGATTTCACGTTTTCTCGAAAACAATAAACCTGACTCTACTTCACCCTCTCTCCTGTGGGAAACCCTCAAAGCAGTAATTCGAGGAGAGATTATCTCATATAGCGCCAGGATTCGAAAGGGTGAAAAGCAAAGGCGACTTGAACTGATGGAAGCAATTCTTCAAATTGATAGACAACACTCCACCTCAGCCAATCCTACTCTCCAGTTGGAGAGACTCAAATTACAGACCGAATTTGATCTTATTTCCACAAACAAGGCAGAGTTTCTTTTAAGGCGTACAAAGGGCACTTATTATGAATATGGAAACAAGGCTAGCCGGTTACTAGCAAGGCAACTAAAACAGCAATCCTCTTCCCAATTCATTGCTCAAATTCGTAAGAACCCCCAAACTTTAGTTACAGACCCAACCGAGATAAACGATATTTTTGCTTCATATTACTCTGATTTATATAAATCAGAAGCCCCATCAGACACTACCTCAATGAACCGATTCTTGGATAATTTAGTCTTCCCCTCAGTTGATATTAATTCCAAAAACACTCTAGAAGCCCCTCTCAGCTTGGAGGAGGTGAAAGCCAGTCTTAAATTAATGCAAAGCGGCAAGGCACCAGGCCCAGACGGCTTTCCTTCCGAATTTTACAAGAAATTTTCTGACCAACTTGCTCCCTTATTATTGGACATGTTTAATGACTCCTTTGAACTTGGCACCCTTCCTTTGACTCTAACTCAGGCATCAATATCACTCATCCCCAAGAAAAATAAAGACCTCAAAGATTGCAGCAGCTGGCGACCTGTTAGTTTACTCAATAGTGACGTTAAACTATTGGCTAAGACCCTCGCCGGCCGCCTCGACCCCTGTCTACCAAATGTCATCTCAAAAGACCAAACCGGTTTCATAAGGGGCAGGCAACTATCCTCAAATGTACGCCGTCTGCTCAACATAATACTGTCCAAACCTGAAACACAAGACCCTGAAATGGTAATCTCTATGGATGCGGAAAAAGCTTTTGACAGAGTGGAGTGGAATTATTTATTTTCAGTTTTAAATAGGTTCGGTTTTGGCCAAAATTTTATCTTGTGGATTAAATTGCTATACAATGCCCCAATTGCCAGTGTAAGAACTAATTCAACACAGTCCAACTTCTTTCCTTTAACACGTGGCTGCCGCCAAGGTTGTCCGCTATCACCATTGTTGTTCGCCGTTGCGATTGAACCGCTTTCCATTGCCCTTAGGAGCTCACCGCTCTTTACCGGTGTATATAGGAACGGGACTGAGCACAGAGTATCACTTTATGCCGATGACCTTTTACTCTATGTCTCAAATCCCACTGTCTGCATGGACAGAATTCTGGACATTTTACATACATTTGGCTCCTTTTCTGGTTATAAATTGAACATTACAAAAAGTGAATGCTTCCCTCTTAATAATACAGCAAGACAGATTCCGGCTCAAACACTACCGTTTCGCTTAGCCTTTTCTAGGTTTCAATATTTAGGCATTAATATCTTGAATAGTCTCCCTTTACTACATAAACATAACATTGTGGAACTGGTCAGAAAGGTGAAATTGGATCTATTACGCTGGAATAACCTCCCATTGTCGCTTCTAGGTAGAATCAACTCTATCAAAATGAATGTTCTACCAAAATTTCTATTTCTTTTTCAGTGTTTACCTATATACTTGCCCAAAGCATTTTTCAACGAATTGGATAAAATTGTTTCACATTTCATCTGGGCGGGAAAGACTCCAAGGGCAAGGTACTCAGTTTTGCAAAGATCCAAGGAGGAGGGAGGCCTCGCTCTGCCGGATTTCAGGGCATACTATTGGGCAGCCAATATTCAAAAAGTCTATACCTGGTATAATTTCCCCAATACAGACTGGTGTCAGATGGAAGCTTACTCATGCAACCCTGTCTCTTTATCAGCTTTAATATGTTCCCCTCTAAATGCATACCCTACTAAAGTCACTTCCAACCCGATTGTATTGTCTACTATGAAAATCCTGAAGCAGTTTAAACGGCACTTCAAAATCACCTCTCTTTCCCCACTAATGCCCTTCTGTGAAAACTATTTATTTCCACCCGCAGCACTTGATTCAACTTTCTCTCTGTGGAAAGACAAAGGGCTGGTGAATTTTGATCAACTTTATGACAAGGACATTTTTATCTCCTTTGATAACCTCCGAACTAAGTTTACCCTTCCACAAGCTCATCTATTTAGATATTTTCAAGCCAGAGATTTTGTTCGTTGTAATTTTTCCAATTTCCCCCATAAACCACCTCGCACCCTCTTTGATGTAATTGTTTCTCTCCCCACGGCTCGTGGATTTATCTCAGTTGTGGTGAAATTGATCATGTCATCACTATCATCCCCACTGGCGACTAGAAATTCATGGGAAAGGGAGCTAGGTTGTTCCCTGTCAGATGAATGGTGGGTGAGGGCCCTTGACAGGGTTAACTCCACCTCATCTTGTGCCGGTCTGACATTAATTCAGTTTAAGGTCCTACACAGGATACATTATTCCAAAGCTAAACTTAAAAAACTTTTTAATACAAGTGATTCATGTGATAGATGCTCTCTGGTCCCAGCCAGTCACACGCACATGTTTTTCTCCTGTCCGAAGTTAAACTCATTCTGGTCCTCTTTCTACAATACTCTTTCAAAAGCTCTAAACAAACCAGTGCTCAGGAGTCCGTTAACCTCTATCTTTGGTGTGCCTGAAGAATTCACACGCTTCACCAACAGGGAAAATAATGTTATTGCTTTCACATCTCTGGTTGCACGCAGACGTATTTTACTCCAGTGGAAGGATAAGAATCCCCCCTCTCATAACTCTTGGCTGAAGGATCTAATGTCATTCCTACACTTAGAAAAAATCAAATACAG